TGGAAGAAGGTGGAATGAGAGAGATCAACATTGAAAGAGGGTGGGTTGGGGAGGCAGAAAAGGGATGGAGAGAGATAGCCTGATTTTTTTACTGCCCAATTCAGAAACAAAGACAGTAACTTCCGTAGTATGGGTCAGTCAGATGGTATACAAAGTAGCTGGGACTTAGGCCATCCTGATATGGCCTCTCCCAAGTCCACACATCAAGGATAAGACACCATAGTGGCAAAAGGCTCAGGAGTGGGCCCCACACTGTGCAGTGAGGGTGGAAAAGGTGGTTCAACATCATCCTCCCTCTACCACCACCAGCCAAAGAACCAATCAAATAACCCAGAGGAGCGCCCAATTCTGGAACCAGTAAGCAGCACATCTTTCATGGGTCAATCAACAGAAGACTGAGACAAGTCCAACAGGCCACTGCTGACAAACCTACAGGTAACTCCTCCCCCACTGGCTCTGCCGCCAGGCATCAATATCCGTGCTGGTAAGGAAAGGGCTAGGAATAGAAAGGTGGAGAGAGCCAAGACAGCAACTTAAATACCCAGGTCAGACTACAAATGAGTTAAGCTAAATGCATTTGGATGCACTGAGATACCTTTAAAAGTGTTTTACATTCCCCTCCCCTTCCCACCAGCCAGCCTGTGCAAGGTGGGTGCTGGTCAAAAGAAAAAGTTGCTATCAGTTATTTCGAAAACTCAGAGTGATCAATGTTTATATTTTCCTGACACAGGACCCTTCGGCCAAGGCTGTTACACTCTGTAAATCCCAGGCTGAGTTTCTTAACCTCTGAAATGGTTTGCTGCTTCTGAAGGTGGGGACCCACCCCAACTCATAGGGCTTGGGGTTTGGAAAGTTCCTGCCAAAGCCTTTCAGTGGAGTTCCTGAGCCTTGAGAAGTAGGGAAATTGGCATGGCCTAGGAAGTGGTGAATTATGTATTCCATTCTTTTCATTAACATTAACTTAATTGCCTGAGAAAGAGAACACGCCCTTGCTACTTCTCCTTACACAGGTCTCAGCTTAAATGTGCATTCTCAGGAAGGTCTCTCTTAGCCCCCCCCCCCAACCCATTCAAAGTAGGGGGAACCTTCAGCACATTTCCTGTTATTCCTTTACAGTCCTAATCAGGATGTGAAGTTGTTTAATTAATTTATTTGTCGAATTGTTCCTTATCTATGTCCTGTCCCCCACAACACTCCCTAAGGAGTCCCCTCTGCTTTTTCTCTCTTATGTGTCTAGTGTCCTTAAATGTGTGCTCCTGAAATTTGTTGACTCTTTTTTCTGGAGGTTCTGGGCCATGAATCTGAAAGTTCTTTTCTCTTATTTAAAATTTCTGAAATAAATTGTCTTCTTAGTTTGGTCATCCCACTGCTGTTTGCTTGCTTTGGCAGAGGAAAAGTGAAATGCCCTTTAATTTTGGGGGGAGGGGGGTGGTTTACAGAAGCCAGTAATATAAAGCACAGAAATGGTGAATTTCAGTACCTAAAACTCTGTGAATGATTACTGGGTGGAGCTATCTTTACAAGGCAATTTTCTACCTTCCCCGTGAAATAAAACCCCAAAAATGTGTTACTATGGCAGCGTATTTCCTTACCAAGACAAAAGCGGAAGCAACCTATGCACTAACATCAACCACACCCCTGCATTGTGAGTCCTCTCTGAAATCAGGTTCAGTGTGTTTGGAGATGTACCAACTGTTAGACTAGTAACATGCTTGACACCTACACATGCGGGGGAAATGTGCACACGCACAAACTGTAATTTAGCAGCATCAGCAGCAACTGTGTATTGAAAAAAACAAAAAAAAAAAGAAACTGCATTTAAACATAGTGGAGAGTAGTCACATCAACAGCATTGGGAAGGAGCTGTGCACTGATTTGGGAACGTTTCCTCATTTTCTTATAGATGTTGGCCCAGCAAAATGAATGGATACCATTGTGATGTTCTCTGGTCCCAATCCTGCCATCTCGAGGCACATTCAGTGGCCAGCTCATGGTCCAGTCCCTGCCATTGGTCAGGATCCACACGGACATGTATGGTTTTCCAGAACTAAATCCTTTCCACAAACAGAAAGCCATTGCCACCTCTCCTGACAATCAGAATGGAGGCAGTGGCACCTCCCATCCTTCTAGGAACTATAGAGAGGGCTCAGGAAGCCCCCAACTTGCTCCATGGTGGACACCCAAGGAGCCCTATCTGGTGCCAGAAAGTTATTCAGAAGTACTGACAACAGAAGGTCATCCATTAAACAGTGTTATTTCTTATGGCATCGGTCCCTCTCTCAGAAGCATCCACCAGACACCAGACCAGGGAACTGGACAGCTCTTTTTGCCCTCTGCAAGAGCCAGGAGCAAGATTATCAAAGACCCTTTTTCTACTATAATGCCCTGTACCCGGTGACTCCTCCAATGAATGCAAATCATTCTTTAGCTGTGGATAGACCCACTGGCTTAGGATCCACATGTTGTAGGCAGCCAAAAAAGATTGGTATTTTGTCATTTGTAAGAATTTACAGGGTGCTTACTATGTGTCAGGAACTGTGGTAAACCCTGTACATGCATTTACACATTTCATTTCTGCAACAATCCATAAGGCAAATACCAAACCCATAAGGTAGATAACTAATGTTATCACTCCCATCTCAGATGAAAAACCTAAAGCTTAGCAAGCTTACAGGAATTGCCCAGATTTTATGTATGAGGCAATGCCAGGATTCAAGGCTACGTCAGCCTGACACCCAAACCAATACCCTCAGCCGTGATGCTATGCTGTCGGTGGATGGAACCTTTCCGATGTGCTGCAACCCAACTAACATTTCAGCCAAGAAGAGATTGTGTGGTGAGGTTGACTTCAGGAGACCAAAGCAGAAACTGATTCTAAAGAGTAGACTTTGGCTCCTCAGAGGGGTCCGGGACCAACGGCATCACATCCTGGTGCAGAACTCGGGCCCATCCCAGACCGCTGAATCAGAGTCAGTGTGTTGACAAGATCGTGGGAGGGTCACAAGCGTATTAAAGGAGAAAGAGGCACTTATTGATATTGAAGAAACGCTAAATAAACTTTGCAGGAAAGTAAGTCTGTAACTGAAACAGAGAGGGGAAAATGTGAGATCGTGGAGGCTAGAATAGTGCCTCTTTTATTTTTTAAACCCCAGTGCCTATAGAAAAGTAAGCATATGGCATATTTATTGAATAAATGAATGGATAAAACAAGGGATTGAGGCACTTTGCAGTAGGGACATTACATGAGACCAGATATTAAGTCTAGGTTTGAGTCCTGGCCCTACTTCTTCCACCCTTGGGCAGGTCACCATTGCTCTAGGCCTCAGTTTCTCCATCTAGAGGCAAAATATAACAAAATAGGACAATAAAACAATGATCAGTGTAGGCCTAGGAAGACCTGGCCAAGTTGGCATAACAGGGAATAATCTGAAGGCCATTCTCACTCCAGAGCCCCATGCAGCCTGCTGAGGCCCTCACGGGCCCACGTTGCAGCATGACTCCCCGCCTCTGGCCACTCCTGCTTCCTTCCCCTCCCTTCAACAGGTGTTTGTTCCAAAAACAAACTCCCAAATAAACATCCGGCATCTGAAACTTCATCTCAGAGTCTGCCTCACTGGGAAACCAAGCCACAAGAGCCATTAAAGGAAAGCCAATCATCCTCCAAGCATCTAAGGTGGTTTTGCATGAATTTGTGGAGCCCCTGCTGGGTTGTGGAAGATCAGAATCTAACGTTCTCCAGCATCGATTGTATAGCTCGGAACTGTGTACCACAACTTGATTAGGCTGTAGCACTGGAATAGGCTTTTATGGAAACTCCCATATGAGGATACTATTAGTACTTAATAGCTTGCTGTTGTGGTATGTATTTTCTATTTTTGCTATTTGAGGTTTTTTTGGTTGTTGTTATGTTTTGTCTACCATTGGTGAAACCGAGGTACAAAATGGTGGCAACTTGCCCGAGATTGGAAGAGGTAGTGCCAGAACTCAAGTGAAGGCCTCCTAATCATCCAGTGTTGAGTGACATAGTATAGTGGGTAGGAGGTGGTAACTGGGATGGATGGGGCTTCCTTCGCTTTCCACGAGGAAAAGATGTCAAAAAGCTTGCGGTCAGCAGTTCATAAAAGGACTCACCCTTGTGTCATCCAGTTGTATCATCACTTCTTGTTTTCCTTGCAAATTTCGTTGGAACAATTTGATGGGGTTAACCTTGGTCATGAGATTGGTTGCCTGGGGACAATGCACCGAGTGCAAAGGGGAGCACGCGTCAGTAAGCCTGAGCCTCAAGCCTCAAGCCTCAAGGTGAGCTCCTTGAGGGAAGGCCCCATGTCCTTCAGCCTTGTGTTTCCCCACCATCTAGCCGGGGCAGAGCATGGAGTTAGTGTTGGATAAATAAATGTCTGCTTGGATAGGCAGTGGATAGCAGCGACTACTACCTGCCTTCGAACCTACTGAATGTTGACTCAAAAGAGGCAAAACAATTGCATTTTACTATCGACTTAAAACTTTCCAAGCACAGACCCTGAGAGGCTCAGCCCTCCTGACCCGAGAGACCCACGGCACTCCTGCCTATGTCGCCCAGCCCTTCCCGCTGCTCTTCTGACCGTGACAACCCATGCCACTCAGTTCAGCACTGGATTACACAGAGCCTTACCCTGCTTAAGTCAGCACGCAAGTCTCATGCCCGGGGTAGGGCGACCCCAGGAGCTCAGTTGGCTTGCTGTGGGTTACAGAGCTCTTACCCATCCCGTGCTTTCTGCCCAGGAGGTGGGAGCAGCCGGGTGCTGCCCTCCAGGATCTCAGCCAGCTTTCCTTGGCAGGAGCCATGCCTATTGTTGGAGCTGCTGAGCTGCTCATGGGCAGGAGCCAGGGACGGAGCTCCCGAGGCTCACGTTGGACGCCACACGCACAAGGTCACAGGGTCAACCCTAGAGTCAACCCACGGCTCAGACCCCCAGGTTGCTTTTTCACTTTTATCATTTTCACCTGAACCCTCATTATGCAAACGCAGTAGCATCTAGTCAATTCATGGGCCAATAGAATGTAAAAGGAAGGGAAAGAAATACTGGCTAGTGCAGTGGAGCAGAAGGCCAGGAACGGTGTTTTGGCTCCTGGGTTGTCCAACACACGCAGCTCCTGTGACACCTCCAGGACACGTGGCAGGGTAGGATGGCGGGCAGCCTATCTGAGGGCGGAGGCACAGAGAAAAACAGTCGCCTTGGGTCTAGGGAGGGCAGATGGCAGAGGCAGAAGAGCAGAAGCATTTCCTCCTTCAGCGTCCGAGACGGAAAAGCAAATCTGCTGGACAAAAAGAACCTCCACGTTTTATGTGTTCTGTTGTCAGGCGCTTCACGGCGACAGAGCGATGTCGAAGGTGAGTCAGGTGCTGTAGCTGGAAGGTCGGGACGGCCAGTCAGCAAAGCCTTCCTTCCACTGCCCGCGTGGCCCCGCTGACCCCTCTTCCTCTTCCTCCTCCCCTCCCTGTCGGCCAATATTCTCATCCCTGGTCCTCAGCCCGCTGCTGGGCATGGACGCTGTGGAGATACTTTATGGACAAGTTTTTACTCTCCCTGGAGCAGGGAGAGGTCCGGGTAAGTTCAGTGACTTGGCCAAGGGGCTGTGGTCAGGGAGTAAGAAGTCTGCCCCCAACAGCCACCTGAGCCATCAGGAGGCTTTTAGACGCAGCGAGCGCTGCTGTGCCCTCTTGGGCCCGATGGTCTAGGAAAGTTCAAACTCATTTCCTGAAATAAGGATGACATTTAGTAAGGCAGTCTGGAAGCTGAAAACAAGTGGTCAGAGCCTCCCCTCCTCCCGACCGGTCCACAGGGCGTCTGCCAAAGCCTGGTGCCCTACAGAGAACAGGACAAGAACACAGCCCACAGGAAAACTGCTCTGCTCGTCTCCCCACTTTGCCCTGTTCTCTTCCCTTCCTCTGTCCCAAGCCCCCGGACCTGCCAGGCCCACAGGAGGTCACAGAATATTTTTGATCATGGTCCTGGCAGTGGGAGTGATGGGCTGTCCGAGGAGCACCCGGGAGACCAGCTGGATGCAAGCATGAGCACCATGGAGCTGCCTGGAGGCCAGCTTCTCACACCCATGCTGTCTTCTGGCTTGTGGCATGTCCCTCCTATCGGGTCTGCTGGCCACCGCTCCCACCTCCTCCGACCCAGTCTCCACTCCAGCCAGAAAGGAGCATTGCCAGGCACACACCCAGTAAGCTTGCTACTCACTTGCAATCTGTGGTGGGTTTCCCAAAGCCCTCTGACTTAGCCTGAACCCCAACCTGACTTTGAGATCCTCACGCTCAATCCCCTGGCTCTCTCGGATGTTCCTTCCCGCTGCTGCCCCTCACGCTCCGCGCTCCAGACTCCCCCACTTCAGAGAATCCATCATTCTTCCTCCTGCCTTCCAGAAATTGCTTCGAACTCAATGTCACTCTGCTCAGAACACCCTCACCAGCAACTCCCCCTTGCCCCCACCGGCCTGCAGGTCCGTGCCTGTCCTCTCCCGTCCCACCCCCTAAGCCAAGTGAGGCTAAGTGTCCTTCCCACGGCAGGCTGGGCCCCCCACCCCCACCCCGGAGCCCTCCCCACAACGTAGCCCAAGCTCCTAATGTTCGTCTCTGTTCCCAGCTAGACCGAACCTCCACAAAGCACAGTGGTGGTTTTCGTATCACTAGCCTGGTGCTGACGCCCCAGACCAGGCCTGCCCGTCTTTTGCTCACTCCAAGTCTCCCTCCAGCCATTAGCGGGGGCAGGGGAGAGGCTCTGGGACTTGGTGCCAGGATCCTAGCGCTGCTCGGTACTCCCCTCACTCCGTACCTTCAGGCAGGTCACTGTCCCTCTGGGCCTCACTTTCTCTCCCTGCTCTTCTCTTCCCACAAGCTCAGAAGTAAAGCGACCAAAGCAGCTTGATTGACTGACTCCCTTTTTTTTCCTTTAAGTTGACTTATTTATCTTGAGAGAGAGAGAGAGAGAGAGAGGAGAGAGCAGAGAGAGAATCTCAAGCAGGCCCCCCGCTGCCAGCGCAGAGCCCGACACGGGGCTCGAACTCACAACCGGTGAGACCGTGATCGGGGCAGAAGTCAAGTGACTGACTGACTCCCTTCGAAAATGTTATTTTAGTGTAGTATCATGGTATCTACCACCTTAACAGATGTCCAAGTGCACAATACAGTATTGTTGACTCTAGGTGCAGTATTCTGTGGTTGACTCCGTTTTGGCGTGGGCTGGGGAGAGCTGGACTGCTGACAGTCCCCTGCCCACTGCCTGCCTTCCAGTGTCCCGGCCTGGGCAGCTGCGTCACAGGAGGCAGGGGTCTGGTGGGTGGGTTTGCAGTGGTTCAATCAAGGGAGAAGGTGTGTGCCGAAACACAGACAGGGTCACCCAGAGAGGTGGGCTGGGGCCAGGAAAGTTTCCCCAGATTCTTCAGGGACGCTGTGCTCCTTACCTCAGGGAAACAATTCGCCATTTCTCAGGGACCCAAGGAGGCAGAGTCAGAAACTGTGCCCCCCACACACAAACAGCCTCACAGAGCCTGGGGGCCAAGGCAGGGATCTTAGCAGGGACACAAAGCAAGACACTAAGGTGGCAGAAGAGATGAGACATTTTGCCCGGGGGCCTGTGATCCAACAAATTGCATCTTTCCCATCTGGCTTCAGGACAGACAGAGCGTTGGCCTGCTTCCTGCCCGCTACCCCTCCAAAGGCCAGCACCTGTTTGGCTTTGAGCCGCGACGTAAAAAACACGTATTTGGGGGCGCCTGGGTGGCGCAGTCGGTTAAGCGTCCGACTTCAGCCAGGTCACGATCTCGCGGTCCGTGAGTTCGAGCCCCGCGACGGGCTCTGGGCTGATGGCTCAGAGCCTGGAGCCTGTTTCCGATTCTGTGTCTCCCTCTCTCTCTGCCCCTCCCCCGTTCATGCTCTGTCTCTCTCTGTCCCAAAAATAAATAAACGTTGGAAAAAAAAATTTTTTTTTAAAAAAACAAAAAAAAACACGTATTTGCCTGATTTAACAGCCAATGATAGATTCATGAATCAAAACTCCACTTTATTTTTCTTTAAGTTTATTCGTTTATTTTGAGACACACTGAGACAGAGTGAGCGGGGGAGGGGTAAAGAGAGTGGGGGAGAGAGCGCGAGAGAGAATCCCAAGCAGGCCCCGCACCATCAGCACAGAGCCCAGTGTGGGGCTCGAACCCACAAAACCGTGAGATCATGACCTGAGCCGAAACCGGGAGTCAGACGCTGGACCGACTGAGCCACACTGGTGCCCCTCAAAACTTCACTTTAAATTCTACCACAAATGATAATCGTTGGCAGCCTGAATCCCTGACACCAGACAAAAGTCAAACCTGTTTTAATTTGCTCATTGGCACTGATAAGTTAAAAGAAACTCATCTTCTAACACAGACTATGAGATGGAATTAGAATTCATGAAGCCACACGTGTTCTTGCCTGATGCTTTTGATAAAGACAAATACACTCCTTGTCAGAAGTTAAACAAAACGAGTTTTAGGGACGACAAGTTCCCTCTGCCTTTGAGGAGGGGGTGATCAGAGTGCTGCCAGAGAGAGAGAGCCTGTGGCCCTTCCTTTGCAGGCTATGGGGCAAGATTAGCTCAGCCCCTCTTTGGGACATGCCTCTTTCTCCTCCTGCATTCCCGGATTTCCAGGCTAGTTGGGCTTCCTAATTTGGAAGTCACCACAGAGCAAACGCTGACAGCACTTGAGTGTCCTGCTGTGAACTCCCTGAGAGGCAGTGGCCCTGGTTACATAACACGTACCTCGGTTAACCCCTCCAAATGCCTCTCAAGGTTCCCAAGCGGAGTGGAGATGAGGCTCCAGACCCCCATGCACTGAAGCTGTGACATCCGCACGCAGCCTTTCTGTTGCATAGACATTCCTCCCAGTCCTGCTCTCTTCCTGCTCTTTCCACTTTCCCCACCCCCTCACCCAGAGGTGGGCCTAGAATCTCACTCCGGGCCAGCCCTCGAAGGCAAGGACCTCATGGTCTTTGCATCCACGCTAATACTCAACACACTGTTGGGCTCATGAAGGTCGACACGCAGGCACTGAGTGAAGACAGAGGGTGAGCAAAAGAGAGACAGGGAGGTGGAGGAGAGCTGAAGAAAGGAACTATGTGATTCATCCCGTGTTCATTTTGAACCCTTCTGGGGGTTCTTGCAGGTGAGCCCAGGTGGATAAGTGTCCATGGAGGGGTGACGAGTAATGTCCCCAGCGCCTGCGTGGGGGTCTGACCCCATCAATCAAACGCCTCCCCCAGACACGGCAGGTGAGTGGTGGGGTTGCTGGTCACAGCAGACATTATCCAAAATTTACTTTTGTATTTACTTATAAATACAGTCTTAACATTAATGTGAATTTTAAATAAGAATATAAATCATTCCTGGTCCCCCAAACACAACAGATTTTACTCTAGCCTATTCCTTCTGGTTGGCTTTAAGTGTTTTATTTTGGGATTGGACCAAGGGCAGCAAATTCCTATGTGGCCAGTATATGCTTGTGCGTTATAATTTTCTACCCCTTCCAGCTGGAGAGCTCCTTGGGGGCGGGGATGTGACTTTCATTTTGGTGTCTTAGCATTTAGCCCAGTGCTCCATACTTAGTAGGTGCTCACTAAACACTTGTTAAATGAATGAATGCATTGCCTCGACACCAGGACCTTGCCAGAAGTGTACATTTAAACCGGGAGGGGAGCAACTTATCATTATTTTAATCGTGAATAAATTCAATATTCTCTGAAAACAGGAAGCACGGCCAGCGTAGAGAGTCAGAATGTCACCCAGAGGCACCAAGGTCAAAGTTACAAGGGAACACGGTGTCTCAAATCTTCTGGGAGGAAGGACAGGAATGGGAAAATGAAGCTGATGACCTGAACACTCAAAAGCAGGACAGAGACGGGGGAAAGAATGGGCTGGGGCAGGGGGTTGAGAACTGGGTCTGTGAGCTGACCGGGTCTGCCAGGGACTTTGTAGCATTGGTACCCTGCATCCATTGTGGGGGTAAGTGTGGAGGTTTCTAGGAAGCACACCAGGCTGAAGACTACCTGATGCTCACACATCTTAAGCTGCTTAGGTAGAAATTCTGCTTTTGAGGGTCTAGTCAGAGTGACTGGTAGGGAAGTTATTCTCGAGGTAAGAGTGGCAGTGACCGTGTGATCATCACATTATTACTTCCGTATTACGCAGAAGAAAATCTTTCAACCAAGGTAATAGAATTTCTGTCCCTTTCCATAGATTGGATCAACTATGGTTCTCTCCTATTATCACTTATATTGTCTGTTTTCAAGTACATCCTTACGTTTATACACACCGTATGGTGTGTTTAATTCACACTTGAAATCTAAATGTCTTGGCTGAACTTTCGGAAAATGCTAAGAAGGGCTCTATTTAACACCCAGTATTATGCACAGAATAACCGTTTCTTTAGTGATAGGATGGTCTTCTTTTCTGGTAGATGTGACCCTCCTCCAGAAGGCCAGGGCCACTTGCATGGCATGGGAGTGGTTCCTGGATAAGGCACCTGGGCTTTGAGCTGTCACGTGGCCTGAGCTGGCCTGCAGAGCGGTGCTATCTGTCCCTCAGTTGGGCAAACAGAGTTAATGCTTAGCTTCCAGTTCTGAGTTTCTCTAGTAATCCTTGACCAAGTCTGGATTTGGGAGTTCTGGGATTCTGTTAAGTCTTGTTTTTTGTTTTTTGTTTTTTTTTTAAAATAACTACCTGTTATCATGCTATAATAACTTCTTGGGGCGCCTGGGTGGCGCAGTCGGTTAAGCGTCCGACTTCAGCCAGGTCACGATCTCGCGGTCCGGGAGTTCGAGCCCCGCGTCGGGCTCTGGGCTGATGGCTCAGAGCCTGGAGCCTGTTTCCAATTCTGTGTCTCCCTCTCTCTCTGCCCCTCCCCCGTTCATGCTCTGTCTCTCTCTGTCCCAAAAATAAATAAACGTTGAAAAAAAAATTAAAAAAAAAAAAAAAACTTCTTTACAGGGTCAGGTAATCTATCTGCGAAGACATACAGAGTAGGAGTCAGTCCCACATGATGGATAAAGTGGATGTGAATTTCCAGATTGTAAATGAGTTAGGTAATGACACTCAAGAAGCCATAAATATCTGTGGGTTCATAACAAAGTGCACATTTTGGAAGTGCTTCCAACAAACCAACCTCGCTCGAATCTCATCCATCTCCTAGAACCCTCCTATCCCCTCAGCCTAATCCTATGGAATACTTGTTCCTAATATCTCTCATGTCCTTCACTTGCTTGGCCTCCTGCCGTTATTCCAGCTCAAGTGCTTACCACAACACCCCTGGATTATTGCAATGGCCTCCTCATCGCTCTACCTGTCCCCAGTTTCTGATCCATTCTCCACACGGCCACCGGGCTCAGGGCTTGACTTTCCTCCACGTAACCACTTTCGACACGCTCCACCTCGACTCAGAAATTTCTGACTATTTCCTATTGCCTTCTGAGTGAAGGCGAGATCCATAGTCTGGTAGTCAAGGTCCTATAGGTTCCAGCCGACCTATCTAAACTTCTCTCTTTCTTGAGGTGCCGAGGTGGCTCAGTCGGTTAGGCGACTGCCTTCAGCCCAGGTCATGATCTCCCAGATCGGGAGTTCGAGCCCCACGTCGGGCTCTGTGCTGACAGCTCGGAACCTGGAGCCTGCTTCGGATTCTGTGCCTCCCCCTCCCTGTACCCCTCCCCTGCTCATGCTCTGTGTCTGTCTCTCAATAATAAATAAACGTTTAAAAAAATTTTTTTAACTTTTCTCTTTCTCTATGGCTGAAAGCACCAGCCAGGAGGAGGTGCTCACTGTCTCCCCCAGGGCCACTCTCCACCCAGATTGTCCCTAGAAGGCCTTCTCCCTTCCCCTCTGCCTGTACAAACCCAAACTTCCTACAAGGGCTCCATCTCTAAAGTTCTGCCATCTCTCTAGTCCATCTTGGTCTAACTGAGTGGCTTTCTTGCATTATCCTATTTAAATATAAGCTTCCTGGAGACGCAGAGTAACTTGAGTCAAAGGGGGAAAAAAGAGGAATTTCAGCTACCAAGACCTATGGTGGCAGAACTACTTTGGGTCAGAGGGCCTTATAGATGACCACACGCACTCACCCCTGGCTCTGTGTCTCCACGGCCCCATCTCAGAAAGGTGGCAAGGAAGCTCGTGTTGGC